AAGAAGTATCAATCAAAATTAAAATATAATCAATAATCATAGCTATATATTAAAGTCAAAAATTTTACTAAGTCAACTAATATTTATATCTTAAATAAAGTTGTTCAAAATAATAAATTGTACATATTCTGAAATTTTCATATAAACTAAAGAATTTTTATTAATTTATTTCTGCTATATTTAACAAAAGTTAATAAAAAGTTTTTTAATTTATAAATATTAATTGAGTTGACTTTGATACATATGTAGCTACAATTAGCGATTAGTATTAGAAATATAATAAAGTTTGATAACTTTTTATATAAGCAATTGATTAATAAAATTATTTTGTATGCAAATGGCTTATGTAAATAAACTTAATAATCTTGATGATTTGGGGTTATTTAAATTTTGATCAATTATTTACTATTTCTGGGTTGGGTTAAGTATATTTTTATTGAGCTTGGGCCTGAGTATACAAATACCTAGCCTAACCTAGTATATTTTAAAACCTATAGCTAAAAGGTTCTTAAATAACCCAGTCTTTTCTAAATAACTATGGTCATTTCCAAATAACCCAAAATTGAGATAATTGATAATGACTAGTCATTTCAGGGTTATTTAAGATTATTTGAAAATTTGCAAATCACTAGGCTATTTATTATTATTGTGGCATAGTATGCTTTATTTCTATTTCCTTTAAACAACTGAAGTGCCTATTTTTAATATATTTATAATAGCTAATTTTAATTAAAAAATTTACTATATAATAAAAGATTGGCTTGATTAACTAGCCTGAACTTTTTTTTAACAAAGATTTTTTTATCCAGTACATAGATTACTATATCTTTTTTGAATAAAATCTATCTCAAAATGGATAGTTAATGATCATACTATATTTATAAATTAATCATCAAAAGTAATAAGACATAACAGGTATATTTTAAATTTAAAAGCCATGCTCTGCTACAAGCTTAAAAAATTTTAAAATTATACAATATATTTATTTTTTATATCAATTAAAACAGATCTAAATCAAATTACTAATTCAGATAGACATATCTGCCTTTGTTTTACTGGGTAAAATCTAACAATATATAACCAGCCTAACGATTAAAGAAAAGTGTATATATCAATTTGAATATTGTTCAATTACGATCTAACTGATCATGATTACAATACACTCCGATGTGCTAAGAATCAGAAATTTGAGAACCTCCCTGAGTTATTGCAATACTAGTTATCTGATCTGTAACTAAGCATAAAATACACAAATATGAAATGCCAATTAGATACCAATAACAAGAATAAGGTATTTTACAGATTAGTATAGTATAGGCCAATTTTTAAATATATACTATACAGATCAGGTATTATATATATGAGCATTAGTTTCTATAATTTTGCAGATCTGTATAGTATAATTTAAAATTAGCTTGTACTATACTGATTTGCTTACCTATATCATACTAATCTGCTATAATTTCACAAGAATAGCATAGTAGACAGTCTTGTAGCACAAACTTCCCACGCTGAATCAGGGTTGATCTGCCTAATAAAAGTGTGAAATTTATCAATCACATGTACAATTTTTAATTAGTTTTATATAATGTGACAAGTTTTTATTTACAATATAAAGGATATCTTATAATCTCACAATCTAGCAGTCATAATTTGATGAACCTAATACTATTTAATTCATCTTATTAAGACAAATCTAATAGTATAAAAAATTATTAAGTTTATCTACTGAATAACAAAATATTTTTAATCTTATATAAAATTTGGTTCTAAAAAAACTTCTTTAATTTTGGGATTATTTTGGATTATTTTTAATAAAATGTAGATTTTTGAGTGCTTTTTTTGCTACTTTGTTTTTTTAATGTATTTATCTGGTAGAATTTGAAAAATCACAAACATAATGCGTACTTTAACGCATATAAAAATTCAAAAAAAAATTTTATTCAATTGTGCCGATCTATTCCAAATTCGAACTTGTCCACCATACTAGTTTGCCGGATAAGGGACTATACATGGATTGATTTGCATAGTGATAGTAGATTTATCGTTATTACAATGCATTTCCATACATGGTAAGATAGGCCGGGCAAAATTGAATTTCTTTAATAAAATAATGCAGATTTCTTCACAATTTGGCTTAGCAAATTAAATAAATGTAATATAAATTGTAATTTTTAGCCTCATTTTGAACATTAAACCCTAATAATTCTCATGCCCCATTGCATTGATGCGACGTTATGTATCAGAAATGATTTACATAAGAAAATAATATTTATTTTCATGAAATTTGTGAAATTTTGTCAAATAAAAACATTTTTTTGGTTTAATTCACTATTATACACTATGAAAACATTTATGCAATTTACTTTTTTTACGTACATGCTTTTGAAGCTTGCTTCATTGGTAAACTGTACTCAAAATTTGATTTCATATGAATTTAAATTGAAATTATCAAATAATACTCCGAATGCATTACTGTCAGAACCAGCTAGTCCTAATAATCTTGAAATTGTTCTCAATATTCCAACAGTATGTTATTTATATATATATATATATATATTGATATTAATATTAAAATTCATACATTTATGCGTGCTTTGTCAGTGGGTTACGTCAATTAGAATAGGAAGAAATCCACCTCAATTTGTTTCCCTGAATTATGATCTTGAATCAAAGGATTCTTTTATCGAGTCTTCCCAATGTGTATCATGCAAAGGCATTACATTTGACCAAAGCGGGCTAAATATGAATAAAGAAAACAATTTTTTGGATATTAAACCTATTATTAAATTTTGAGTCAGAATTTATAACAAATTTTCACACAAAGAATAACGGATAAAGAAAGTCATGTCAGAAAAGTGTGATCGCATAATCTGTGATATTTTATATCATTATGGTTTATCTAACTTAAAATTTTTTGCCATTTAACGATAGGTTAGGGTGTGGACTAAACTAATTAAATCAAACATAGTCAGGGTAATTAATTAATAATATATTTATATATCCCAACTATTGTTTGATTAATTAGTTTAGGCCGCACTCTAACTATGGGTCCTTAGAATTTGGTGACCAGTTTTATTTGGATATTTAACAAATGAAATGAAGCCTATTCCAAACTCTAAATATTTACTTTATAAAAACATAAAGACTTACCCTTTGACTTTAGGAATGAATAAATGGTACAGTTTGTGGAATTAATGCAATCATTTTTTTCATAGCCTGGTTGACAGTATATTATGTCAATTTCAAATAATTATTATTATTATTTTTAAAATAAGAATTTACTCTTACCAAGTCCGTATATTCCCACAGCAAATTCATCTGATGGCATTGCTTTATTAATAGAATCCACCAATCCAAAAGAATATGGTTCAGTTAGGTTTTCAATGAGATCTGACCCATACTCGTAAATGTGGTATCGTCCCAAGTTATAATTACCTAGCTTCACA